AATTATGTATAGATAAAAATATTAGAAATATTACTTTTCTTTATATATAAAAGATTATCAAAAAATAGTTCATAAAGAAGTTCAAAATTACCTGCTAATTAATATAATAAATTTAAATAAGAATTATTTGATCAAACATAAATAATTTTTTACAGGCTATTTGAAATATAAAATTTTATTAACAGTCAAAAGATAGGGCCTAAATATTACAAGCTATTTTGATTAATAGAGTTTTAACTATTTAGAATGAAATTTAGGAATAAATTACACTCTTTTTAAATATAAAAGTTAAGTTAGAATTTTCAAAATTAGATAGAATCATTAAAGATTAGTACTTGCTTTTTTAAATAGAAAAGAAAAATAATTTGTTTAGATTTTGTTTATTAAAAAGATTACCCACTATTTTAAAATTTAATTTGAATTTTCTAATTATAATTCAATAAACTTTTAACATTCTATTATATCATTATTAATTTTAATTAATTAACAATCTTTTTCAAAAAATTAGTTAAAAATATTACTGCCTATTTAATATTTAAATAAAAGTAAATACAATTCAAACATCGTATCTAATAGATCCTTACTTCTTCCTATTTAAAAATTTTATTTTAATACTTTTAAAAAATTAAAATTAAAAATTACCAATCGCTTATTTAAAAGTTAAAACATTTTAGGATATTCTAATAGATTATTATGCAAATATTATACTAACTATAAAAAAATAAAATATTTAGAATTTTAGATTGGTACTCAAAACTACACTAAAGATTTACTCCCTATTTAAAATTTAGTCATCTTCTATTGTAAAATCATGTAAAAATGCTACTCACTGTTTAAAAATATAAATTAATAAAGAATAAAAAATGATAAAGGAATTCTTACTATCTATTTTATTGAAGACATAACTTAGTTGGTAATTGTTTAATTTGAAAATATAAATTTTACAATCTGTTTCACAAAATTAAATTAATTAAATTATATTTGATTATAGCATAAAAGTGAATCTTTCTTACATCCTATTAATGGTAAATTTAATAAATATTTGAAATAAATCTGATTTATTGAAAAAAATTTACATCCTATTTGGTATTTCATATTTTTATTGAATTTAAGCATTAATTTTCTAAAATAATTTAAATTAGTTACATTCTAATTTTTTAACAATTTTTTTTTATTCTTAATATCCACTTATTTTAATAATTTTACTTCTTTCTATTTAATTTAATTTATCTTCTAATAGTCTAAAGTCATGTTTTAAATATTACTCGCTATTTTAAAATTTAAATTTTATTTATTAATTTTTAAAAGAGAATTAATAATATTACTCGCTTTTGAATTGTTAAGATTATTCTTATGTCTTCTAAACTATTTTCAAATCTATTTACCAATCACTTCTGTTTATATTCAATTTATTTAGTATCTTCTAACAAATTTGTTTAAAATTTACAGGCTAATTTAATTGTTTAAAAAAGTTCATCTACTTTTATGATAATCTGTCTATAATTTACTTGCTTTTTTAAATTTTAATTACTTCTTTTTTATTTTTAATCAAAAAAAATATTTACATGCTATTTAAATCATAATTTATTCACCATTTTGAAATCAATTAATTACTATCTATTTTTAAAATTCACATAATTCAATAATAAAAATTCATATAAGTTAAATCATACCCACTAATTCAAATATATAAGCATTTTTCTCAATTTGATATTATAAACCCAAAATAATAATTTTACATCCTTTTCAAATGTTTTATAATTCATCAAGCATTATCAATAGAATCAAAATTATTACTTCTTTTTGTTTATACTAAATTAATTTAGTCATATTCTAAAAAAATATCAAAAAATTATACTCCCTATTAGGTTATTTAGTTATTCTTCCATAAAAAAATCCTTAA